GCGTGGTACAAACCAGTAACATCACCTTCCAGGCTGAAATGCATTTTGAGTTACTATGCAACTCAGACTTTGTGATGTTTCTGTTGGACTGAGCATGTCCGCCCAGAATCACAGTTATCAGTACTGTCGGCATCTCTCCCAGCAACTGTGTTCTTGCGAGCTGTGTCAGCTCCCATTTCTTGGAAGACTTGCTCAATGAAGCTTCATCTTCCGGTGACATGCAGCAAACTTGCAGGAAGGCCTCCTGTGGGAGGATGAGCCTGACCCTTATCTTGCCAGCCAGCTGCAAGGGGATTATCCGGGAGCTCAGCTATGCAGCTGCAAACACTCTTGCACTGGCTGGACTGCCTTAAGACCTCCTTCTTGTGTTGTAAAGCCAGCAAGAAAGCAAGGATTGAACTACTCTGGTAAGTCAACAAAGCTACCTTCTGTTGTTTGTTTGTTTGTTTTCTTCTGATTTGGTTGACAGATTGCACAGAAAAGCACTGCCTTGTTGAAGGTACGTGTAGTTGTTCTTCGGAAGAAGTTACAGCAGCTCATGTGTTCAGTGGTGGCATGAGACTGCAATACAAAGACAGCTCATTGACCCATGTTTCCCAGCATGGTGACAGCTCCAGAAGATTATTCACCTGTTGATTATTCACATGCTGGAGCAATGTCTAGCATGGAAAACTCCACTGATCTCCATCCTTGGTGGTCAGCACCCTCTCTGCTGGCCAAGGACTGTTTATCACTTCTTTTCAAAACTGAAAAGGCTATTTTTTACTTGTGGTAACAGTAAATTTATTTCTGAATCTCCTCTCGCAGTTTGCATGAACAAAGCTTTGCATACAGATGTAATTCAGGGCTATGATAGGCATGAGCAGTTTCATATTCTAATTTTTGATTTCTTGACATAAATTTTCTTGGCTACCCTAGTAATGCACCTCCAGTAATTCTGTAAGTACAAGCAGCTCTTGTACACATCTGAGGACTAGTGAAAATTAATTTGATGGCTGCAGCTAAGCCTCCCAGTGGCCATCTGTTCATATCCCACCTCAAATCCAGGGTTGGAAGACCAGGAACATTCCCCATCCTGTAATGAGAGATCAGGAATTTGCACAACACCTCTTTTAACTCTGTTCTTTTCAGAGCTCTCACATCTCCTGTGAAGGACACCAAATTCACCCAACTTTAGAAACTCATCCTCAGAACAAACCAAGAAAAGACCTGGGCTGTGGTGTCAGTCCTAGAGTGTGTGGTATCTACTTGCCTGGTCTCTACCTCATCTAGTCTCACCAGGGAAGTGTTTGCAGGTGAAGATGTACAGTGGAATTCTCTTCTTGTCACTCGTTGGCTTCCTCCCACTCGTGATACCCACATGTCCTGTGCCATGCAAATGTGCCACCAACATTATCGACTGCACGTCAAAAGGCCTTACTGTAGCAAAACTACCAGTTGCTTTCCGCCCTTCGGCTGAAATTATCCACCTTGCTTACAACCAGCTCACCTCTATTCCCAATGGGCTCTTTGACAACCTAAGGAGCCTCCAGGTAGTTTACCTGCAGGGCAACCCCTGGGAATGCAACTGTGACATCCTCTACTTGCGCTCCTGGCTCCAGTGGCAGCAGAACCGGACCTTATACAGGGATGTGAGATGCACCTCCCCAGCTCACCTGCAGGACCGGATCATTGCCTATCTCACAGAAGACGAGATCATGTCCACATGCCAGTACTGGTACTGCAGCCTGGCTTTTCTCTCTCAGCTCTGTCTCTTCATCCTCCTTTTCCTCCAGGGTATCTTGGTTATTTTCATCATAGTCTACCTGCAGAAATTTCGGAGAATGACCGCTGAAGCGCGGAGCACCACCCAAGATCTACAACAGCATGTAGACACCTGAGTATCTTCTTCAAGAAGACCCTACAACACAGATTAACATCACAAGACTGAAGACCCTCTTCCCCCTTGGGTGATGTGGTGCCAAGGTGATGTTGTTTGTGATATCCAGAGGGGACAATTCTGTGCAGCATCTGATCCTGACTGCACGCCGAAGCAGGACTTGAACTGATCGGACATCTGCTGTATTTCCAAAGACCTGATCTTGTAGGTTTTAATGCTTTAAACTCTTTGGCATGATCCTGATTGCTTTGCTGAGCTGGTAGTGGTTCTGGTTTGGTAGACTAAGGAAGCTGTAAACTACAGCAACCAGAACTGACTCAAACGGTGCTTGATCTCTCCTATGCTAGAGTATTTCAACCATACTTTCCATGATGCTTCTGATTGCATTGGGTCAGGTGAGGACAGAGATGGACAGTGAACAGTTAAGTTACTGGACTGGGACAATGGAGAAATAGTTCCCTTGGTACTACTACAGGTCACCTTGGTAATTTTGGACAAGTGACTTAGTTTTCTCCTGCCTCAGTTTCCCACCAGTAAAAGCAAAAGGAAGCTGCTTCTTGCCTGGTGCATCTTTTCCAATGTTCTTCTGGGGGAGGAAGGGAGGGAATGTTTAGAAGCCTACCCATTTTACCCTATATTCATTCCTTTTAATATACTTATATAGTTTTAATACTGACTTCAGCATGTACAGAGTCAGACTGGGACCCTGAATGTTAATGAGAAATTCACCCTGAAGCCAAGAGTTGTTGAGACCAGAGGCTCTTTCTGACTGTGCTGGTCCAGTTTTCTTTGGAGCCTCAAACTGCAAGACCCATTAATGTGGCTACTGATGATGATGATGTCCCTTAATTATTTTTGGAACAAAGCAAAATTGAAATAAAATAACTATGTGTGATGATGTATATGGCCTATTTTCCATTCTACACTAGGTGTCTTGCACTCTCTCATGCTCCCTGGCAGTTTCTCAACACTCCCTTACACTCAAACTTTGGGCTGAGCAAACCAAATACCGAAGGCAGGTGGAGATGTTACCAGAAGTCCACCACAGGGTTAAACTTCGACAGCTACCGGCTTCCACGATGGGCCAAATGTGGAGTTTCTTCTAGTTCCACTAACCTGGTGCTTATCTGTTCATGAGGCAGGCTGGGAAGGGAAGGGTGGTTCCTGGGGCGAGCACACCCCTAGGGCGACGGCCCTGCCGGCTGCGGGTGCACGGCCCCTCTGCCCCCAGCCCTGTTCAAGGGGGTTCCAGTTCTCCTCAAGGGCCCCAGTTCAAAGGGGGGGTCCAGTTCTCCTCCAGGGCCCTCAGATCACACAGACGCGCGGCTCAGCCGCCAGAGGAGCCCCTCCCGCGGTAATGGCGGCGTCGGCGCCAATGGC